ATGAAAAAGACTGGGTATTCGTAATTCAATTTACCAGAAGATAGTAACGGTTTATTCCGAGTTTCGTAAAGGTTATAAAGACTTCTCTTTCTTTTTTAAAATCAAGAAGTTCAATGTTCTAAGGTATATTGTATAGGTTATTTCTGAATCGCTAGTGATGACAAAGAATCATCAAAATGCTCAGCAAGATGGTTGTCAAAGCAAATCTTGTAATAAATACTAGTGTTATCCATCGCTTGTTTCGTTTTTGATAATGTCAGTTGACCAAAGTATGGCCATGCAAGAGATTAACTGGCCTTGAAAGAACAGAGTTTAATGTGAACATTTTGAATACAGTGTATCATTCTAGCGGAATAGCCAGTATTTCTTCACTTGCCAGATACAATAGAATGTTAGCAACAATGTCAGTTGTGTTAATGAATATGCAACGCAAATGCACCTATTTATACGTTTCTTACTTTTTTGTTCTGTTCAATCGGCGGCGGCAAGAAGTCGGCCGCTAACAACTCTAGTCGTAACGAAATAAAAGAGCAGTCAGCCAGAGAAAATAAACAGAGTCTGTTGGCTTTTCTTTTTTGTAAATTTGTAGAGCAGAATATAAATAAAAGAAAATGTTGCTCTTTTTCTATTTACACTCACTTTAATTTCAGATAACGATATGGTAATTACGTGCAGCCAAACTCTAGCTCCAGCAACAATATATGCAGCTACTTTGTCGAATTCTAGTTCTAAAGTACTTGTTAATAAGCAAATCCAAGCACAAACACGAAGTCTTCATATCCCAGTCAAAATTTACAACGGAAAAATGGCATTAAAATGATCGAAAATTGACATCATTATAATGGCAAAAAACTGTCACAAACAACCCTGAAAAATGATTTTTCATGAGGCATTAAAATGATTAATTTAATGACGGTAAAATGATTCAATTTTTGCAAAAAATAATGTATAGAAGTCAAACCATTTTTAGGCTTTTTAGGATGTCCCAAAGGTCACTTTACGCTTGGTATTGTATTTAACATATATCTTCAATATGAAGACCTTAAATTTTATTCATATATACTTGTACTCAGGAGTAAGATACATATAACCACTAATATTCTTGCTTTCAAAAGTAATAATTTCTTGAATAAAAATACAAATGTATCTTGTTTACTTCTATATAATTGTAACAAAATTAAATTGTCATGCTGATTCACTAAACTTTCTAGTTGAGAACTGTGAGGACAGTATGTAGTCCAAGAGAACGAGACAAGATATTGCATAAAAACGTGCTTGATATTCTACTTTAATACTGAGAGAAAGCTTCATTGGAAACGACCTCATAATATCCTAACAGTTCTCAACTAGAAAGTTTAGTGAATCAGCATGACAACTAAATTTTGTTACAATCATACACAAGTGAATAAGATACAATTGTATTTTTATTCAAGAAGTTATTGCTGTTGAAATAAAGAATATTAGTGATTATATGTATCTTACTCCTGAGTACAAGTATGTATTTGAATAAAATTTAAGGTCTTCATACTGAAGACACATGTTAAATACAATACCAAGTGTAAAGTGATCTTTGGGACACCCTGTATAGAGATCAATAAATGATTTAAATGAAACTACAAAGAATCTATTTTGAAATTAAGAAACCAGAATATGGTGCAAAAAATTATGCGGTTGTGTTGGATAGATAAGATGAAAATACTATGAAATACTTTAAATCATAAAGAATAGCATATTCTCATCTAAACGACGCGTGCAGGGTTTTTCAATTTAATTGAAACAACGTTGTCAGTTAGATCTTATGTTTATTTCACACACATGAACATGAAGATACTTAATGTATGCCGAAATGTCAGTAATTGGCTACAGTAGTCGTCTAAAAAAAGAGAAATATCTTATGAAATATTTTATCAGCGAAATAATGATTAATCTATGAACTAAGTTTTCTAAATATTCAACTCGTCTTTTCATTTATTCACTTCTTCGTAAAAGAGATATCGTACATATGTTACTCAGTGAATCCTCTATATAATGACTATTCGTATACTTTTTCACTTATATCAACCGCTCATGTACGTTACTAGTCAACAGGCTGAATTTTAGTAAAACAGACTTAAAACATGTCTCACTGGTTTATGCAAGACAGGATATGAAACAGATTTCTTTGTTTTGTAGCGAACTGCTCTAATTTATGACTGGCGTCTCCGTATATGTTAGGTATTATTAGTCGTCAACATAAAATTTTAATTATAAGATCCAATAGTCAATGTTATTTTGAATAAATTGACAAAAAATCTGATGTCATGCTCATTTAAGTCAGAGATATGTGAGAGACGAGGTAGACCCAAGGGGGAAACAGCGGACTTCAGTTCATTGAAGTCCAATGAAGTCCATCGTAGTCCAATGAAGTCCATTGGAGTCCATTGGAGTCCATTTAAGTCCATTGGAGTTCTTCAAAATCTCTTGAAATCGTTAGCAGCTCTCCATAAGTCCATTATAGAAATCTAAAACGGTTGTGTCTTGATTCTTTTCATCAATAGTTACGTCAAATGCGACAGATATTGGTTTCGATTTAGAGACGAATGCACAGCATCTTTCTATTACCTGTGTGCAGCACATTCACTGACTCTAAAACTTTAAATTAAACAAAATACTGCTTATTTAAAAACAAAATCAAACAAAATATTACATAAAGAAAAAATACATTTATTTATTCTTTTTTATTGGTTTGCTTTACACGAAGTAACCGGTCATTTGAAAGTTTACTTTTGTTACCTGTTAATAACCAACAAGTAGTCTGTTTATGTAAATATTTTGTATCATTATTTATTGTGACTTTAAAATAAGGTAAAGGCAAAAAGTTCGCGACATTTTCTTATCGATATTAATAGAAAAATTTCTAAGAACTTTTTTTTCATATAATATACTATAAGATGCAGCGTGAAAAGTTCTACAATTTGCACAAGACCGCTCTTTTTACAGTTGCACTTTTTGTTTTCAAATCGTCAAAACTTCAAGCGATCAAATTTCGACCGTGTGAAAACGATATTTTTTTCGGCACAAGATGGATTTATTCATCTTTTGATCACTTCATATCTTTTATTTAAAAAAAAAACAAAATACATCACAAGATGCAGCGTGAAAAGCTCTATAATTTACACAGGACCACTTTTTTACAGCTGTACTTTTCGTTTT